GTCTTCATCCCCACAGCCGATGCAATCCGACTGGACTCGGGCAGAAATCATGTTCATGGATGAGCTAATGATTTATTAACGTAGTAGAATGAAGCAGGGTGAGGCTGAAAGCCGTCGAAGTGAAACGAGGCCGCTGAACGAGCGCGACACATGGCTCGAAAGCAGCGGAGCTTTTATTATGACACAGTCGACCGCTTCCGCTCCTTCCGGTCGTGCGTATGTCGTGTAAGGGAGTGTATATGTATAAGTGCGCGAGATGTGTTTTTAAATTGTATTTATTTACAGAGGTATATTATGTATATTATGTCACACTTCACACTTCTCTAGTAAGTTTCGTCTGAGTGTGAAGACGCTGCAGGCAGTGGTGTAGCACAAATTCCCGAATGAATGTTCCGAAGTGAAGTAAACTTCAATAGATTTGCCGTGCTCAGAGAGTAGGGAGCAATGAACACTGTGTAGGGACCATTTCAATCGGAAAACAGTTCTCTTCTAGCGAGCTGGTTATCTGAATCAGATGTGTTAAATAAGATGTGCAAAATATGCAGAACGGTGGTAGGCGAGGACTGGAATTGAGAACGACTGTCCTAGATCTTATAATTGTCACAACTTGCAACTTTCAAAATGGTTTTATAGAGTTGTGTGTATACTGAATGTTTTTTTTTCTCTGAAAGACGTTTCGTCAGCTGAACAATCCATCAAACACACTGTACTTCTGTCCTTTACAGCAGATTTAATTCCTTGCAAAAATTAAATATGGCACTATCCTGACTAATGTCTATAGGTAGGTTCGACTTCAGCTGCAGCTGAGGAGTTTCAGACGTTTTCATGTAGTGACAGAAACTATATTCATTTAATACTTTATGTACTACTTAATATAGCGCATGTATGTACAAGAATAAAGTTCAACGTAAGCATATATTATTTAAATACCAATAAAGTGGGGTCTGTATATTTTACCAGTTTTATTTTGATAGCATGAAACGTTACATGAAAAGATTTGTAAGCATTAGATGGCATTTCAGAATAAACAAGAAACAAACGTGATCGTTGTCATTTGTGAATCCAGCCAATCAAACAACTTGTGTCGTCATCAGAGCTTGTGTAGCCGCTTTGGAGAAACTGCTCAGAATGAGCCAGCTGGCTGCTCTAAAATCGCTTTTGCAGTATTTTGTTGGCATACGTCACAGTGACGTGGCGTTGGCGCCATCTCAATTCGGACACAATTTCTAAATGGCATGCACTGCTTCAAGTCAGATGCCAATCAGCCTGCACAGCGCCACATGCTTATGGATAGCTTTCTTAAGTTTCTACTGTATAGACCTCCTTGCTTTGTCCTCCCTGACTTCCTGATATTGTGCAGCATGAAAAAAGTGATAAGATTCTGAAATAAAGGAGAATCCCAAATGAGTGTATTGTTCAGATTTATGAAGCCGTGATGTGGTTGTGGGACTCGAGCGCTGCGATTGGCCGCCTGTTCTTTGTGAGAGCACCTGTTTCTGAGACAATGTTTCTGTGTGAACAGACCTGGCCTGCCTTCACACTTTCATTTTAGTGAACAGCAAAGCAATAAACAGTTTCCAGCGGTAGCAGGCTTAGCTTTGCCATAATGAAATGCCTCCGTGTCACGCACCCACACACACACACACACACTTTGTGTTTTTTGTTTTTTTTTCACACCAAATGAGATTGAAATCTAGCAGTGCTATAGGACTGCCACAGTGCACCTTGCTCCGAGAGAGCGGCTCATTTTTGGGAACTTCCAGAAAGTGAATGTAGAAATCTGAGAGTGTGAGGCGGGGGAGACAAACCACAGGATAACAGCTTTTTGCACCTCTTCGGTTCTCACTGCAGCCTTGCGAGCACTAGAGTGACGCATGCAGCTCCTTTCTACACGTCCCCAGTGAGAGACGTGTGAAGACGCCAACTGAAACCTGCATGTTTACACACTCTGCTGATAACAGCTTTGCATATTAACTGTACAACCACTCCGCTTCACAAGACCAATCACTTAAATGTCCTCGCAGCGCACCCCCGGCGCCGGGTTATCATGATCTGCACTAAGAATATAGACAGACTGTCTTAATATGTTGACTTTTTGATATTTATTAGCAGGTTAATAAGAGGAAGTCCTGTTTATATTATATTTACTGCATGACTTTAAAGTAATAAATTATTACACAATTACTGTTATTTAAAAAAATAAAACATTTAATTCCTTCAGTGTTCCCATGGCTGTGACCTGGAAATGAAATGGAATAGTAAAATTATGTTTTTATTTTTCCATGTTTATATGAAGTCTTAAATTTTTGTAGTTGCATTCAGATTTATTTAATCAATAGAAATTTGCTGTTAGTGAGTGCAGTCTCTATTTAATGATTTTTAAAACTCCTCACATTCATTAGTCAAAAGCTGTAGGAACTCATCTCAAATTAAGCCCCTAATGATAATATAGATTTTTTTATTTTTGGCTGTCTACTTAGATGTGGAAGTTTTCCAAAAGGAAAGGCAGCAAGATGATACTTCCTTCTAAGATATTTTGTTTTGACAGAATAACTTATGTTTTGCAAAGAGGGCAATACCAGAATGCACTGTGACTGGGGAAACAGGTTTAAAAGTTTGGGGTCAGTAAGTTTACTTAGTAAGTGCTTTTATTCAGCAAGGGGGCAATAAATTGATAAAAACAAATGACAGTAAAGAAAAAAATGCTGTTCTTTTGAATTTTGGTATAACATTTCCAAAAAGTATCACGGTTTCCACAAAAATATTAAGCAGCACAACTGTTTTCAACATTGGTGATCATAAGAATTGTTTCTTGAGCATCAAATCAGCATATTCGAATGATTTCTGAAGGATCACATGACACTGAAAACTGGAGTAATGATTCTCAAAATTCAGCTTTGCATCACAGGAATAATTTATATTTTAAAATATATATTAACATTGAAAACAGTTTTTTTTAATTGTAATAATATGTCACAATATTACTGTTTTTACTGTACTTTTGATCAAATAAATGCGGGCTTAAAAAAATCTTACCGACCCCAAACTTACTGTGTACTTATTTTCAGTACTGAAAACTGATAATAGTCATAATAGTTCCAACTAATTAATAATGACCTATTTTACCCATTATCTATGTCTGCTAGGTATTTATTTTGCTAAGTTCAAACCAAAGTCACTTCATTCGGTAGCTATCTTGATTAAAACCCATTTACAGTAAGTACAACTCTTATCTGCTTCAAGACCAGAAACTCTAAACTGTTTGTCAGGACTGCATGGCAATAATAGATTTAAAAGCAGCAATAAAATCTGACAATAACGGCATCATAAATTTATCCCCTTCATCTCAAATCACGCAAAAACAGGTGTTTTGATACCAGTCCAGTTTATGCACATGTGTGTTATAGAGCTGTCTGCAGAGTTGCTGTTTATCAAATTGGTTATATTTCATTAGAATGCTCCCTTGGAAGGTGGCTGCCTATATAGGCAGTACAGACTGCTCACTAGGTTTTGGAACAGCATGATTTATGTGTTATTTACAGGTCTAATATCCCCCTTAGGGAGTTTTGGATGTTTATAATGTGGTTATAAAACTACAAACATGGAACCAGGGTAGATCTAATTATCATAAATCTCCACAGAAATCTAAATGTTATTCTATTACAGTGAAGTCTTGTCTGCAAAAAAGTGAGTCTATCCTAACTGAATCAAATCCAATAAACAAGGTCCTTGAAATATTGAAATAGAAGCTGATTATTTCTCTAGGATTTATGCGAGCTCTCTGTATGTCATGAAGAAAGAGGAAACGTGGCCCATATCACGGTTCATCAGGGAGGCATCTGATACATGGGAAATTCAGGCTGAGAAAGCTTTTTTGTTTGAGACCAAAGGAATCAGGTGGTCTGATTGTTGCTGAAGATTGATTTTGCAAGTGCTCTGTCCCTTTGGTCCTGTGAAGAGGACCTAATTTATTTGTATCTCTGACAAAAATGACCAGAATATATTCTGTTGCCAGAGAGATTTTATTAGAACATTATAAAAAGAGCTCTTTTGAGATCTAGAATTATGTGTTCTCCGGAACTCTTACAGAGATACTTACAAAACCTTCACAGTGCAAAGTGAAAAGCAGAGGTTTCCAGGTGTTAAACTGCATGAAAAGAGAAGTGCTGACATCAGTCCCTAGCACACCCAAACAAACTGGTTACATAACTTGTTTACTAACCCATGCATCTTCCCTCACAGACCACGACCAGCCAGGCCATCTTCAGGCTGCAGTCAGGCATATGCCAGCTCTTCAGAGACACGCTCATCAACAAGGGTTTTGTGGAGATCCAGACCCCCAAAATCATCTCTGGTACGGCCATCTCCAAGTGCACTTCATCTCTTTTCTTTTGTTCACATCTCAATGTCAGAATAGTTCACTATTTATTTACTTACAGTGAAACAAAAAAGGAGAATTTTGAGGAATATTTTTTGAAAATGACCATGTAGTGACTAGATCAAGCAGCAAGCACAAATAATGGCACAATATAAGTAGTCCATACGACTTGTGCACTATATTACAAGCATGTGAGGAACAGATTGAAATGTAGACGTTATTTTCACAACCACTCGAGTCAGTGAGTTGAATCTTTCTTTTGAGCCACTGTGCAATTCATTTACAGATTGGTTCTCACTGAATTCACTGGTTGATTTATTAGCATGATCTGTTTTCATCATGTCTTCTCAAAACTTCATGCACCTCTGAAACTACATTTCCACTGATGAAATGAAGGCCGGGCTGAATATTCCGTTTTGTGCATAAATATGCCACATTATGGCAGTTAAATGTCTTTTGAATGCCACGATTCATCCATGCATGTTTCATATTTTTCTTCATAATCAAAATATCATGACTTTATCTTCAAGACAGACTTCTTTCTGGTGATTTAGGCCAGACTTCTCCAATCAGTTAGTCAGTTTAAACCCCGCCCTTTTCTTACAGTTGACTGTAAACTCATATTCAGTAATCTATAATCCATAACCGATAATCCATTTCATTTGGATTTACGTCACAATATTGAAGAAAAGATCTGTCGCTACTTCTGTTACATTGTGACTTCAACCTTACAGAATATTTGAGATGACATGAGGCAAATGATCTTGTCTCCATGTTCACACTGGAGTATCTGTATTCATGACGGCAGGGACGGAGTAGCACAGGTCTTATCTCTGTCCTCACACACTGAGCCTTCTGAATGATTTCCTGCTCACGCTGTCCAATTTAGTTTATTGTTCCTTCTCAGCATCTTCAGTCTCAAAAAATTTCAATTTCAAGGATTGATACTTTTTTCATTTTCTGAGGTAAAAAAAAAGGCAGCGACACTGTCAAAACACTGGCTGAAGAAAAAGTGGTGTTTATTAAGGAGATATGTCTCCAGTCACTGATAGGACTCTTGAGATGGTGGGTACACCAAGAGCTATCGGATCTGCTGGGATTCATGAGCACAGCTGTCTTTGCGAAGAGTTCAGGGCCTGCTTCTGTTGACTCGACTCAAAACTGTGCAAATTGATTGCTTTGTCAGCTCTTTCTATTCATCAAAGAATCCTGAAAAAATATCAAGAGTTTCCACAGAAATATTAAGGATCATGTGACACTGGAGTACTGGCTGCTGAAAATTCAGCTTTGCCATCACAGGAATAAATTACATTTTAAAATATATTCAAATAGAAAACAGTTTTTTAAAAACTGTAATAATAATTCACAATATAACTGTTTTACTGTATGTTTGATCAAATAAATGTAGCCTTTGTGAACATTAGAGACTTCTTTCAAAAATATTTTTTAAAAAAACATACCGACCCCAAACTTTTGTCCTTTTTGGAGCTTGATAGTATAAATCATAATTAATCATTTCAAAACATTTAATTTTTGCATGGAAGACTGTTTTTGACTTAAAAATAAAAAATAAACAATTGTGAAATAAAGTTTAAAATGAGACAAATCGAAATATAAAGTTGCATTGTGAGGTGTAAGGTCACAGTTACATTTTTATTTATTTAGTTTTACTTTGAGGCAGAAAGGAGCTTCCGTTTTAGTGGTATAATGAAATAATGACTTGTAATGACAGGAGGAAATGTGAAAGAAATGATTTATTAATTTATTAAAAAATATTTCTTATAAAAATCTCATAAAAAACAAATATCCCCCGTGCACACACAAAAACAACTTGTATTCCATTTAATTAATATGTTTGTTATCTGTGTTACTACTTCTGTTTGCCTAATACTTTAACTTTTATTATTGAATGATTCATTGCTTGTTGATCAGGATGCTGTTAGGTGATGGAAGTTGAGCGCAAAAATAATGTAGCTCAACTACTTCAACCGCCACTTAAATATGCTTCTTTTTTAGTCCACCAATGATTTTAAAGACTAGGTATTACGTCAGTAAAGGTCTTGGTGGTGTTACAACACTTTCTCTCAGCAAAACCCCCCGTTGTGTTTATGTGGTTTTCGCTGTTAAGGAAAACAGTTACTTTCATTTCCTCTGTAGCCCGACCAGCCAATCAGAAAATGCCTTTGTGACGCATTTCAAATTTAAACTTTGCCGCCTTTGGTGTGATCTGCCACCCGCAACAGATCAACACTGTGTTCTTTCAGTAAAACCGCATGACATCCGGTGCCCACACCCAACTCCACGTTCCCTGTAGAACATCATGTTCTTATGATGACCATACTTACCATGAGAATTATTAGCACTTCTCTGTCCTCACATCTGCGGACAAAATAATACCCATGATCACAGTGCATATGTCTTTGTGTGTTTTTCACAGCTGCCAGTGAGGGTGGAGCAAATGTCTTCACCGTCTCCTACTTTAAAACCAGTGCGTACCTGGCCCAGTCTCCTCAGCTCTACAAGCAGATGTGCATTTGCGCTGACTTTGACAAAGTCTTCTGTGTCGGACCAGGTAAAGCATGAAAATACACCCTCCTGTCTCTTTTTTTCCCCTTCTATATGCTGTTCCCATCCTCAGGTCATCCCTAAGGTGGACAGCAAGAAATCTGAGTATCTGTTCCACACCCAGAGACAATCATATACTCTAGACTGTGGCCTAGAAAGCATCTGGCCACTGTATTTATATGTCTATCTGTAGAGAGGTCACCTTCACCAGTATCTCCTCTCTGCCAGTATGCAGATCAGGACATACTGCAGGATAAATAGACAGATTGCACTCTTGGTGCATTTGGCAGGCACAGAAATCCCTCCTGTGCGGCACACTGAATAGAGCAAGAATATCAAACACTTTCAGCAGAGCCATGGGACGGAAGACTTCAGAAAAATACAGCTCATCAGGGACCTCTGCTGATGGAAAGTCACGTTGTAGAAACAGCTTTTTTTTCTTTCTTTTTTTCTGGAAATGTTCAAAACAAGTGCATTGGTCTGATTCTGGGCAAGACGTTATTAATGATCTTACTGACTTGATGACACTGAAATTTGAACATAGCTGCATTTTAGAAATTTAGCTACAACTGATATCGCTAACAAAGCAGGGTTGTTTTGGAATTATTTATATGCTATTTTAGCATAGCTTTTATTTTTATATTTTCAGTTTTCATTTTAAATTTAGATTCGGTTTAGTAATTTTGATATGTGCTTTTTAAAAATTTCTATTTAGCTATTTATTTTTACTCATTTTAAGTACTTACATTTATTTTATTTCAGTTGTTGTCAAAGCAGTTTTTTTTAAGTAAGTTTTTGTCTAATATTTATATATATTTTATTTCAGCTTTATTTAAATGAACAAAGACATAGTTTTAGATTTGGTTAACTATAATAACACTAACAAAGCCATTTGTATTTCAAAAATGTCAACTTCTGGAATTTACATCATGATGGGAAATTTTTGTCAGCTGTGAACAATAGTAATGCATTTAAAATTAATCGCCCAGTGGTTTCATTTAAATATTGATGCTACTATGAATGTAAATCTCACAGTTGAGTATGCAAATGTTTCTCCTAGTGTTCAGAGCTGAGGACTCCAACACTCATCGCCATCTGACCGAATTTGTGGGTCTGGATATTGAAATGGCTTTCAATTACCATTACCATGAGGTCATGGACTCCATTACTGACACCATGGTTCAGATCTTTAAGGGACTTTGTGACCGGTAAGGGACGTGACTCCTTCAACATCCCTTTAAATTTGCAAAAATTTTAGTGAAGTCCTATTTCCTTTTAATAAGAAGCAAATCACATGAGAATAAAGTCACAGGAATTTCACTTGAAATTCATAAAAAATTACGTCATTTATTCATGTGAAAGAAATGCCAATGTGTTCATGTGGTTTAAAATAACAAGGATATACAATGCCATCTAGTGCTCAGGATAATACGGCAAGTCTTATACTTTATACTTGAAGTCGTTTACTATGTCATTGTGTGGCAAATGTTATTTACAGATGGAAATCCGACCCAGCAGTCTCTTTATGTGGAATTCATAAATGTTTTATGCAATAACCACAAACAACCTGACCAGCATTGAGAAATATAACATTGTCCACTAATGCTGTAGAAAATAGTTTACATTTGGATGATGAAACTAAGATGTTTTAATGGAAGCCTTGAGAATCACTGTAGAAACTTTATTTGAAGCCTTTAATTGGATTTTGGGCCCACATTTAATGCAAATCTCCGTTCTACCTACTTATTCTCTCCCAGGTTCCAGACAGAGATCCAGACTGTGAATAAGCAGTACCCCAGTGAGCCGTTCAAGTTCCTGGAACCCACGCTGAGACTGGAGTATAAGGAGGCAGTGGCCATGCTCAAAGCTGCTGGGGTGGAAATGGGGGATGAAGAAGATTTGAGGTCAGTGTGGCTTTCTCTGGTAGAATTTCCCACATTGCACACACAGGGAATCTGTAACGCGTTTTATAACAGATCTGTAATCATTTTTTTTTTTCTTCTTCTTCAGTACACCTAATGAAAAGCTGCTTGGTCGTCTTGTGAAGGAGAAGGTGAAAAGCCATCTTTTAAACATCATAAATAGTATAATATAATATATGGTCAGTAAGATTTTTTGTAAATGTTTTTGAAAGAAGACTCTTATGTTCACTAAGGCTGCATTTATTTCATTAAAATGCAGCAGTTCTTTTAAAATATCACAGTGTCACAAGATCCTTCAGCAATCATTCTAATATGCTGATTTAATGCTCACGAAACATTTCTTATTTTTATCAATACTGAAAATAGTTGTACTGCTTAATATTTTTGTGGGAATTCTGATACGTTGTTTTTCAGGATAGAAAGTTCAAAAGAACGGCGTTTATTTGAAATACATTTTTAACATTATAGATGGTACAAAATTATATAATGTAATGCATTTTTGTGGAATAAAATATATATTTTTTTCTTTTAAAAATAAAATCAAATAAAATCTTACCGACCCCATTTTAAGATTCTTCTTGAAATAAAAGAGCAAACATACTCTAATGCTCTCAAGCTCCCTCTTCAGTCCACCCAGATAATTTATGGAAACTACAAATAATGGGTCATTTTGAAGACTGTTTGTGACACCTTTGTTTACTTTGTTTGCTTAAGGTCAGCGAAAGCTGGAAATGACCCTGTAAATCTAAATTATCTATGTTTTTAGCTCCAGAAATCTTGAAACCAGGACAAAATACGTTTATAAAAATGAGCGGAATATGGTGCTTGTAAATTAAACGCAGCTTTGTGTTTATTTTAGTATGACACTGACTTCTATGTGCTGGACAAATACCCCTTGGCGGTAAGGCCGTTCTACACCATGCCTGACCCTAACAACCCAGTAAGTGTTTTAAAGCCTAATAGATCTAAATCCATCGCTTTTTATTTAGAGGCTACATGGTTCATAACAAACCCCACATGTTATTCCTGCAGAAATACTCCAACTCATATGACATGTTCATGAGAGGAGAGGAGATCCTGTCTGGAGCTCAGAGAATCCACGATGCCCAACTGCTCACTGAAAGAGCAATGCACCACAGCATCGGTAACTATAGCAACGGAACACAACAGCTGTGTTTACAAAACCTAAAGAGTTAGTTGTTAACAGTTGCTAAGCTCAAAACGTGATGCTCTAATAAACAAGAATATACAGAACATCTACATGTGGGGTGACCATAATGCATTTGAATTTCAACACTCTATACTTAATCTTTATGGTAAGTAATGACTACTCTAAAGTCTCTTTTGTAGTAGGTGATACATTTTGTTCTCTGTGTTACAGACTTGGAGAAGATCAAGGCTTACATTGACTCGTTCCGCTATGGAGCTCCTCCTCATGCCGGCGGTGGCATAGGTAACAAACATGTTTTACAATCTTGTAGTTTAGAAACGGTCTAATTCTACAGATTAATTACTGTTCAAATGTTTGGGGTCATTTAAGATTTTATTGAAAGAAATGAATACTTTTATTCAGCATACTTTTTTATACTAGGCTATATACTTTTATGTACTAGTGCATGATGTTAAATGTCTGCCATCTCTTAGGTCTGGAGAGAGTGACCATGCTTTATCTCGGCCTACATAATGTACGTCAGACCTCCATGTTCCCCCGTGACCCCAAACGCCTGACCCCGTAAAGATTAAAGCAGCCAGTGGGCTTCTTGTCTCTCATCCCGCTGAAGCAGTAGAACCGCCAGCCAGCCATCAGGGATCCGGATGTGCCAGGATGCAGAAGTGCCATGATGATTAACCGACACAAATTAAGCCACTTTTATACTTATTACCAGACACAACATGATGTTAGATAAAACTAATGTACTTTGAAGGGAATCAATGTTAACTGTTAAATAATACAGGTGATAGTAACATTATTAAAATCATACTGTACATGTAGGTTTTTTCTACTGATGATGTTCCTTGACACCCAAGTTTTTGAGAATTCTAACAAATAATTTAAACAATGCATGCACAATAAATTAACTGAATTATACTTTTTGGGAGTATTTTTCTTTTGAAAGTTTGTGAATGATTGTTAATGATTTCCACATATTCTTGACTGAGCAATTATTTCCACATCAATGAATATTTCAAATCATAATCACTTCCTAGCAGTGTTAATTTCGTTGACGAACAATTGTCGTCATAATTGTCGTCAACGACATTTTTTCACGGACGATAACGAACTAAAACTCTTTTTGAATGACAGAAACTATGACGTAAATCTATTGACATTTTCGTCAACGAATAAAAACGAGACGAAAATGTTAGGGAGGGACGATGTGAGACGAGATTCATTCAGAACGAATCTGCTGCGTGGTTCGGAGGTTATGCGTACATATGAACCGGCGGGACATAAGCTAACATACACTTGCTGCACGTCGCATAAAACGTTAAAAAATGTCAATATGTGGGAGTAAGAGAAGAGCAGACATATGGATAAATCTGACGACGCA